TGCGCTTGTTGTTCTTTCTTGACTTATGACACTTTGATGTGCTAGCCAGATCCCGTTTTGTGCAATTGGAAAGCTGGTGGCAAATTTTGAAGTCATTTCTCACTTGTTCTGACCAAACAGACTCAAGAAGAGGAAGTAAACAAGACAAAAGGAACAGAGTAAAGGACAATGGAAAGAGATGATTCCTAACAAGAAAACTACAAAGTAGAAACCTATCAAATATGGATACCAACTCTAATAACCATGACATGCACCTATGGATATTCTGTCAAGCAAGTCTGATGTTCAACTCCTGTTATACCCCCAAACCGTGAAACTGGGCTTCAATGCTCAAATTATCCAATCTGATTCATAATCCCTATTCGACTTGTAGAGCCCGAAGGGTTTTCTCCATCAAGTCTATCTCAATTTGTTCTTTCTCTCAACTTACAGTCGCCTCAAGGTGCTCGTTAAGGTTGTCACCAATAAGACTCTCTCATTTTTTATTTCTCTCAGCTTTCATCGCCTGACGGTGCTCGTGAGGGTTTTCACCAATAAGACTCTCTCATTTTTCATTTTCCTCGTTTGGACCGGAATGTTGCCCCTGATATGATTCACCTCTACTTTCTCGCCTCGGCATCTCTCGAAGACTGATCGAAAGGTCTTTCTCTGGACCGTAATGTGGGCTTTTGGATGGGGTTAGAAAGAAAGGGTATCAAAAGGCAAAAAACAAACTCAACCGGGTTCAAAATTACAACTTTTGGAACCAGATTTTCTCACAACAACCGCAACTTCTGCCCCAGTTTCTTTGCTTGGGGACTTTTGGATTTTTATTTTGATGGGACCGAACTGTGAGGCTGCCTACATATCCTTAAAAGGAATCAGGTCGAACATAGTTCATGTCATAGGAATTACTTTGTTTGTTGTGATTTTTCTTTTCTTTTTCATTCTCTTCTTTTCTTCTTTTTGTTGTTTTTTCCTCTCTTTTTCTTTTCATTCTTTTCTTTCTCTCTTCATTCTTTTCTTTCTCTTTTCATTCTTTTCTTTCTCTTTTTCTCTTTGTCCTTTACTTACATTTTGCACTTGCATTTCTGAACTTTACTACTGATTCCAAAAGAGGGGTATGAAAAAGAAATAAATAAGGCTCAAAAAGGGTAACAAAGGATAAAGTGTTTAGATAGCAGAACAAAATGCCTTCGTCATTCCAATCTTCAAAACATGCCAAGTACCAACAAACACAACTTAACCAAAGAAATCATACATAATATCTTTTGACCGCATCAGAATTGATGGCCATTTCTACACATTTGCCTTCTACATCTGTTAAATACAAAGCGCCATTGGACAACACTCTCACTCTCATTATCACGAACGCCCCCTGCAAATTTGGGGCGAACTTGCCTTTAGCTTCGATCCGATGTGGAAGGATGCATTTCAATAGGGTTTCTTTATGTTCTATCTGCCCCAGTTTCACACAATTCGGGCTTGAAGTGATCTCAAAATGCCTTTGCTTATTTCCCCTCCCATGTCCCTACATCTTCAAAATTGCTTCATTGCTTCATGACTAAATTGACTTTTAAAACCAGGATGAGAATTATGCATGCATGTCATGTCACTACAAAAGAACTATAAAAGAAAAGAGAACTAAACAAAAATGACTAGCAGTTACATGAAACAGAAAATTGCATTAGACAGCTAGTGAAAGGATTTGAACAACAAAAAAATCAAACTAAACTGGGGTTACAAACCTAGACAACACTAAACGAGCTGCTACAACTAAACAACTAGGCAAATAAAAGGATAGAAGGGTTTGAGTCACAAGACAATATCCGGATTACAACCCTGGAAAAAACCCGGACACCAGAAATGACAACAAAATAAACCACCAAAACTCCTCCCTGGCTAACCAAGAAAAGAGCGACTTTCCAATCACCAAACTCAGCATCTTAGCCACTGACTTCTGCATCAACAATACTAGGACCTTCACAAGTCTCCATCACATTGTTCTTAACAAATTGCTTTTGGTTTCCTTGTGCCTGCTCATTCTTAGGATCAACCTCTGATAGCGCTGAAAGCTTTGTAGTGTGTGGACCTCCGAGGATCTCACAAGAATTCTCATATTCCTTTTCAAAATAAATCATACCCACCATATGCGTCTCATTACACACAGGCGATGGCCCTTGGCTAGTGTCTGCTGCATCTCGATTTTGCACGACAATGTCATCTGCATCAATAAGCTTCTGAATTGCTTTTTTCAGATGCTAAAACTTCTCTATGTCATGCCCCGGGGCATCTGAGCAATATGCGCACCTTTGAGAAAAATCAAACTTCTTTGGAAGAGGGTTTGGCATTTTTATCT